CAACCACTTTAAAGTGGAGTTCCAGTGAAAAAAAAAAAAAAAATAAAAGTCAGCAACTACAAAAACTTTAGCTGCTCAGCCACTTTAGCTTTAGCCACTCAGTTGTCCCTCGATCCTGTGGTTTCCTCCCCACAGCCCGTTTCACCAGCTGTCCTGTGTTCCAGGTGCCCGGCATCTTCAGTGTGAGCATCCGGCTGTGACAGCTTGCAGCTTCACAGCTGGATGAACTACGCAATCCCCGAGTAGCTCTGCACTTTTCCAATAGTCCCGTAGTCTTCTGGGACCTTTCATGAGTCCCAAAAGACAACGGGGAGGGAGGGGGGAGAACAACTTCTGTTTCCAATTACCTAGGTGATCGCAGCAGAAGTGGGAGTGGGTACCTGTCAATTTCAGATACCCGCTCCCCCAAGGAGTGGGGGACCAATCCTTAAAGCTGAACTTCCCTTTTTGGGTGGAGGTCCGCTTTAATGACTAATCTGATTATTATTGAATTTTTTTTATTAATGTGAAAGGATAAGTGCTCTTTAATGTACTTACACTTAGTAGGACCCCAAGTCCTCTCTCAGCATTCATGACAAGCCACATACAGCCTTTTCTTGAGGACGTCCTGTCCCTTTTATGATCTCACAATAAAATCTCTATTAATTCCAGTGTGCAAACTCTATGGACTCCCTACTGCTGTCATGCAATACAGCTTGGAAAAGCACCACCCTAGTCTGTGATTGGAGAGTGAACGAGCAGCAACACACTAATGGCAGTACCCATTCTTCTTCTAGCTGAGGGCTTGTTCACACCAGCGGCGCTGGGCTGTATTGCCCAGTGCAGTCCCTATGCAAGAACAAGACAATTTGCCTTAGGTCCTATGACTTCAATTCACAACACACAAAAAATAGGATGTGTATTTTTGTGCGCTACAGTGCGTTCTAATGCAACATAATGCATTGCAATGGAATGTAGCCCATAACAATAACATTTAAATTGTTTTTTAAAAGAGAGCACTACAGTGTGTTTTCACAATGAATTGCAGTGCTTTGATAACGTGCAAGCTGTGATATGAATTTGACCCAATTCCTGATATGTGTACTACATAAGGCTAACATAAAGACACACATGAAGCTTACATGTACTTTTAGCAACAAAGCGCTAAGTGGTTTCCGCCAGGATTGCACTAGAGTCATCGGTTTTGAATCCAAACCACGGCACTGCCTGAATGGAGTTTGCATGTTCTCCCTGTGCCTACATGTGTTTCCTCATTGCACATTCCAAAGACATATGTGTCCGTGGACGCACAAGTGCCCTCACAGCACATAGGGGTCAACTGGCCCATCTAAATAGGCCCTAGTATGTGTATAGATGTAGTTAGGGACCTTAGATTGCAAGCTCCTTGAGGGCAGGGACTGATGTGATTGTACAATATATATGTAAAGCATTGAGGGAAATTATCGGCACTGTATAAATAAATGTAATAAATAAATAAAATAAAGACTGAGTTACTATTTAAAAACACATTTACAGATTTCCAAATTAATGCATAACTTTATTTAATAGGGGTCTCTCTGCCTACATGTGTGCTTTAAATATAACCATACTTTCAGTACAGAAGTAAAAACAGTGTGGTTTTCAAAGGGTTAGCCACATTCTTTTTGTTGTGGAGTGATAGGGGTTTGAAGATCAAGGGGTTAATGAAACTACGACTTCAATAATGTTTAGTCAAGTGACACATTACCTGACCACAAATATTCTCAATTTTGCTTTATACAAAAGCTCAATAATAAAGATCAAAATGAGAAAATAATGGAGGGTGAGAGAGAAGTGCATTTGTCAGCCTGAGAGGTACATAAAGCTATCCAGCCAGAAAATTAGAGATAAAAGAAAGGGCTGAGGTTGTAAGGTTGTAGAGTCCCATAAAACCATCAATATCAAAAAATAAACATAAAGATAAGGGGTGTCGCCTCGTGTCCTCAGAAGGATGTACCAATTATTGTAAGGAATTGAAGGAAGCAGAAAATAGCAGGTTTCTACTTTCAAGCCAAGGAAAAGAACGCGCTTTTTTTTTTTCTAACGACAATACATGTAGGTTTTTACCTGACCCATTTTGTAGAGTTCACAGCTTCTGTCTCAGGTATTCCCTAAACTATTGATGATATCACTTTGAGATGTGACTTAAAGATGAACACTGGGAACATTATAAGAGATCACTATATTATCCAGGATTAGATTTAATGAAAATGTACACCTATCTGAATCTGTGTTATATTAGCTTACTAAAACACCCTTTGCGCTGGGGGAAAAAATGGAGAGTGAAAGGTATCGCTATGACCCAATCAGACTCTACTACACAGTGCTAGCAATCTGACACTAGGGAACAGAATAATCAGTGTGTGATAGGAATGATAGGCAGCGTACAATCAACAGGGGGTAGGATTCATTGCTTTGGCTCAGTTTTTTGGAAGGGACACCTGGATCACTTACAGCACTGTACTTGTGTAATGAGAATTAAAATCTTTGGTAGATAGGCCTTTTCACATAACAGCCCCACTTATTTACAAAACTAGATTTAGGCTTCCTGCACACTGGGGCTCTTCTAAACGTTTTCCTACTGGCAGGAGAAAGCAAATGCAAAAACCCTTCCAAGAAGCTTTTTTTTCAAACACGTTTAATAGCGTCAAGTGCTTGGGGGTATATAATATTAATTTACTCTGTCCATTGAAATGTTAAAACATTCAGACGCTAAACAGCATTTGTGGCTAATGTGTTTTTAGACACATTTTCACGCATTTACCTGCATTTAGGCACGGCAGACATTTTTTTTTGCCAAAATGCTCCTCTCCTAAATGCACAAGTTATGTATTTGTTCTGCCTCTAAACACCTATAGTATGCATGGACATATAGGCTAACATGGAGGGGCGTTTAGAGGCAAAGAAAAAAATGCTGAAATGCCTGTAAAAGCAGTGTTTTCAAGGTCAAGTGTGCATGAGGCTGATAGTCTATAAGTGCATTCTCTTGGCAAAAAAACTATATACAATCTTCACATATATTAACCGAACTGTTATCCCTGCCAAATGATTTATAATCCTGTTTCAACCTTTTGAATCACACATCCTTACCAAACTGCACAGCCATGAAAGTAACTCTGCAGCTTGCTGTGTCACCTGTCTCCCCATCTGACATATTATGATGCTGATTTACTATGTCATTTCCAGATTTGACATGAAAAGCAGCACATCAGATCTATCTGAATAGAAAAAACTGGCTCAATAGAACCAGAAATACTTTTTCATGTAAAACAATTCACATATTATTATATTATATATATATATATATATATATATATATATATATACACACTGTTCAAAAAAACCAAAGGAACACTTTTTAATCAGAGTATACCATCAAGTCAATTACACTCCTGGGATATTGATTTGGTCAGTTAAGTAGCAGAGGGGGTTGCTAATCAGTTTCAGCTGCTTTGGTGTTAATGAAACTAACAGGTGCATTAGATGGGCAACAATGAGACGATCCTCAAAACAGGAGTGGTTTTACAGGTGGAGGCCGTTGACATTTTTTCCCTACTCATTTTTCTGACTATTTTTCACTAGTTTTGCATTTGACTAGGGTCAGTGTCACTACTAGTAGCACGAGGCCATACCTGGACCCTACAGAGGCTGCACAGGCAGTCCAATTCCTCCAGAATGGCACATCAATACGTGGCATTGCCAAAAGGTTTGCTGTGTCTCCCAGCACAGTCTCAAGGGCATGAAGGAGATTCCAGGAGACAGAAAGTTACTCTAGGAGAGGTGGACAGGGCCATGAAAGGTCCTTAACCCATCAGAAGGATCGGTATCTGCTCCTTTGTGCAAGGAGGAACAGGATGAGCACTGCCAGAGCCCTACAAACTGACCTCCAGCAGACCACTGGTGTGAATATCTCTGACCAAACAATCAGAAACAGACTTTGTGAGGGTGGCCTGAGGGCCTGACGTCCTCTAGTGGGCCCTGTGCTCACTGCCCGGCACCATAGAGCTCGACTGGCATTAGCCATTGAACACCAGAATTGGCAAGTCTGCCACTGGCGCCCTGTGCTTTTCACAGATGGGAGCAGGTTCACCCTGAGCACATATGACAGATGAGAAAGGGTCTGTAAAAGCCATGGAGAATGTTATGCTGCCTGTAGCATTGTTCAGCATGACTGTTTTGGTGGTGGGTAAGTGATGGTCTAAAGAGGTATATCCATGGAGGGACACAGACCTCTACAGGCTACACAATGGCACCCTGACTGCCATTAAGTATCGGGATAAAATCCTTGGACCCATTGTCAGACCCTAAGCTGGTGCAGTGGGTCCTGGGTTCCACCTGGTGCACGACAATGCCCACACTCATGTGGCGAGAGTATGCAGGTAGTTCCTGGAGGATGAAGGAAATGATACCATTGAATGGCCCCCACACTCATCTGACCTAAATCTAATAGAACACCTCTGGGATATTATGTTTCGGTCCATCCAACGACACCAGGTTGCACCTCAGACTGTCCAGGAGCTCGGTGATGCTCTGGTGCAGATCTGGGAGGACATACCCCAGGACGCCATCCGTCATCTCATTAGGAGCATGCCCTGACATTGTCAGGTATGCATGCAAGCACGTGGGGGCCATACAAACGACTGAGTACTATTTGGAGTTGCTGCAATGGAATTTCAGCAAAATGGGCTTGCCTGCTGCATCATTTTTTCACTTTGATTTTCAGGGTGTCTTTGAATTCAGTCCTCTGTAGGTTGATAATTTTAATTTCCTAACACATTACCCAGTCCATATCAGTATAGATAGCCAGCATGATATTTTTCCCCCTTGAGATATGATGTGTTTTCAAAGTGTTCCTTTAATTTCTGTGAGCATAAATATATATACTATATTGCCAAAAGTATTGGGACACCCCTCCAAATCATTGGATTTAGGTGTTCCAGTCACTTCCATGGCCACAGATGTATATGATCAAGCACCTAGGCATGCAGACTGTTTTTACAAACATTTGTGAAAGAATGGTTCGCTCTAAGGAGCTCAGTGAATTCAAGTGTGGTACCGTGATAGGTTGCCACCTGTGCAATAAGTCCATCTGTGAAATTTCCTTGCTACTAAATATTCCACGGTCAACTGATAGTGGTATTATAATAAAGTGGAAGCTACTGGGAACAACAGCAACTCAGCCAAAAAGTGGTAGGCCACGTAAAATGACAGAGTGGGGTCAACGCATGCTGACGCCCACAGTGCACAGAAGTTAACAAGTGTCTGCAGAGTCAATAGCTAAAGACCTCCAAACTTCATGTGGCCTTCAGATTAGCACAACAACAGTGCGTAAAGAGCTTCATGGAATGGGTTTCCATGGCGAGCAACTGCATCCAAGCCTTACATACCAAGTGCAATGCAAAGCGTTGGATGCAGTTGTGCAAAGCAGTGGAAATGTGTTCTCTAGAGGGATGAATCACATTGCCTGGCAATCTGATGGATGTGTCTGGGTTTGGCGGCCAGACAGGAGAATGGTACATGCCTGACTACATTGTGCCAAGTGTAAAGTTTGGCCCAGGGGGGAGGGGGATTATAGTGTGAGCACTTCTCTGTCTGGCAATCTGATGGAAGTGTCTGGGTTTGGTGGTTGCCAGGAGAACGGTACTTACCTGACTGTATTATGCCAAGTGTAAAGTTTGGTGGAGGTGGGATTATGGTGTGGGGTTGTTTTTCAGGGCTTGGGCTTGGCCCCTTAGTTCCAGTGAAGGGAATTCTTAAGGCGTCAGCATACCAAAACATTTTGGACAATTTCATGCTCCCAACTTTGTTGGAACAGTTTGGTGATGGCCTTTTCCTGTTTCAACATGACTGCACACCAGTGCACAAAGCAAGGTCCATATGGACATGGATGAGTGAGTTTGGAGTGGAGGAACTTGACTGGCCTACACAGAGTCCTGACCTCAACCCGATAGAACACCTTTAGGATGAATTAGAGTGGAGACTGTGAGCCAAACCTTCTTGTCCAACATCAGTGCCTGACCTCACAAATGCGCTTCTGGAAGAATGGTCAAACATTCCCATAGACACACTCCTAAACTCTGTGGACAGCCTTCCCAGAAGAGTTGAAGCTGTTATAGCTGCAAAGGGTGGGCCCTATGGACTAAGAATGGGATGCTGTTAAATTTAATGTGCGTGTAAAGGCAGGCGTCTCAATAATTTTGGCAGTATGGTGTATATATATACACCCCTTTTGATAACGTGCACTGGCACGAAATGCATCAAGGAGGAGCCTTAACATTGTGACGTCACGCCGCTGGAGCCGCACGAAGGTCCGGCGGCCATTTTGGAAAGTGGCTCATCAGTCACATGTGCTGTTATATATACACTATTCTATTGCTCTTGGACTGTTTTTTGGAATTTTCTTTTTGACATAATTTTAACAACTGGATTGGATAATCATCTATTAATAAAAGGATTAATTTAAATACTACACCATGAGGCTTTCGTATCATTTGGCTCTGATCTGAGCTAAGATCACAGAGACCCCCAGAGGAAGCATGGCTACAGAAGAGGCTGGTGTCCAGAGGAGGCATCCTTGTTCCAGGCTGGCTAAGAGTTCAACTTAAAGGGGCTCCCTACAGAGTCATATTGGTTTAATGCGCATAACCTATGGCATCTGGTGAGTGCGCATTTTATATGTTGCTGCACGGATTAAAATCACACAGATTTCTTAGAGGCACTTATGAATTTTAAAAGTGAAGCACGTAATTGCTGACCTGACCAAGTCAAGCCTGCACTACTTCTGAACACTTCTTATCTATAAGACTGTTTACTATCACATTTCATTTTGCGTTTGATAAAGCGCCATATCCACCTGGAATTTTGTATATATTATTATACTGCTCATTATTTATTTCTTCATTCATGTAATTCATTGAAGTTATTAATCTTTTTCACGTCTAACGCTGCACTTATATATATAATACATTTTCGCCTGAAGATCTTTACATTTGCTTAGAATGCCAAGCACCCACTTATTTATCTCATAATATAGTCTCCTAAAAAATGGATTTTGGCAAAGACATTTAGTATAAAAGCTAATGAATAGCTGTGGTCTGGAGGAGTAGAGGGGTAGGAGCTCTCCATAGGAATGAATGAACAGTGCACAGTGCAGAAGATGTTGACAAGAGGCTAGTAGTCTCATTGGCAAAATCTCACTGCATCAGGGACAGGTGAGTAAAAGATTAGCAAAGGGTTGGGGAATTTACAATACACAGTTGTACTCAAAAGTTTGCAAACCCTCGGAGAATTGGTAATATACATATTTACAATTTTGAAAGAAAACATGACTGAGCAGGCAAAAAACATTCCCTATTTTTTCTTTATGGGATTCATATTCAACTGTAGGTCATAACAGATAGGCACAATTGTAAAACAAAACATAGCAACAACAAACAAACAAATGATATTACCCCTGTTCAGTAGTCTGCATATCCTTAGTTCTTAACCACTTGCCTTCCAGAGGATTTACCCCCCTTGCTGACTAGACCATTTTTTTGCGATAAGGCGCTGAGATTCTTTAACTGACAATTGCACAGTCACGCTACGCTGTACTTAAATGAAATTTATGTCCTTTTTCCCACAAACAGAGCTTCCTTTCAGCGGTATTTGATCATCTGTGTGTTTTTCATTTTTTGCGCTATAAACAAAAAAAGACTGACAATTTTGAAAAAAAAAAAACTATATTTCTTACTTTTTGCTATATATCATATCCAGTAAAAAAAAATTTAAAAAAATCTAATTGTGTCATAAATTTAGGGCAAAATGTATCCTGCTACATGTCTTTGCTAAAAAAAAAAAAAAAATCCCAATACATGCAGATTCATTGGTGTACATGAAAGTTATAGCGTCTACAATGGCAGTATATGTACTTAAATTTTTATTATACATGGACTTATAGCGGGACTATGGGACTGTAGCAGGCACTGACACTGTACTAATTGCACTGGGCAGGAAGGATTTAACATCTAGGGCGATCAAAGGGTTAACTGTGTGCTGTTTTACTGTGTGTGTGTGTTTTACCAGGGAAACATGCTGCTGTGTATTTCTCTGCTGTGCAGCATGTTACTGTTGGCAGAAGAGATACCTGTGTTGTTTACACACAGGTCTCTCCCCGTCACTGTTTTTCAGTGATCAATGGGTGTCGGCGTGGAATCTTAGTGATTGACATCTGTAGCCGCCAATGGTGGCGCGGCTAGGGCTCACTGAGAGGCTGCTCCAAGTGCCGCACCAGACTCTGGGGTGGATCCCGACTTTAAAGGCGGGATCTTTCCCCAGCCTGGACTGACTGAGTGATGTCAGCCATCAGCAGGCTTCAGCCTGCAGTCAGCTGAAAACAGGTCACAGGAATGCAGAATGAAAAGAGCTTTGGCTGTACTTCTCCTTTAAAAAGGAATCAAACATTTATGTGATAATAAATGGCTTCATATGATCACTATTCCTACATATAAAAGACAGTTTTTTGGCTAGATCAGTCACGTTTTCAATATCAATCTTAAAATGATTTCTGCCAGGGTGTGCAAACTTTGGAGCACAACTGTAGGTCTAACTGCACCAGAGGCAGCGGTACACTTTAATACCCTTGAATTGGTATGCCAGCCTGGCAACTAGCTTTTTCAGAAAGAGAGATCAGTAATGGCAGCAAAAATGCACCTATTTTCAGAACATGTTTTCTTTAAGCGCAGAACTACAAAGGCTAGTGGTAAAACCAGCCCTGATTATAACGATATCAGCCAAGCACAAAATAGAGAGCTTTATAAAGGAAAAGCAGAAATCCAGCCAAGCAGCTAAACACCCAGCTGAAATATACATGTGTATGTAGACTGTTTTCTTATTTGATAATATTCTAATTCACACACCTTTGCCATGGAGCATGATCCTTGTAGAAACACTAGTTATCACTGCAGCTGGACAGCTTTCTGTTTCACCATCCAGCATTTAAACCACGAATGAGGAGGATCATGACAATTCTAGGACCCTGACTGCCTTGCCCTGCATGCATTGTTCTGCACTCAGCTTGGCCACTGGGAGGTTATGAAAGATAATAATAAAGACCAGTTTCAAATCTACTGCTTGAGTCTTAATGGATGCATGACCAGACTGAAGTGCTTTATATTTATCTGGAATTCTTTAAGACTGCCCACAGCTTTAGTAACAGTAATATACTATAGAATATAATAATGCACATAAGTTTCCTTTATTTTCCCAAAAATATCCTTGCTTCATTATTATTTTGTCTGCAAATTCTGAAGAAAGGATTTATTAAATAAAAGATCATTATGTACAATGTTCTCACTTGTTACATAGTGTATGAGCCCACAAGTCTGTTACCATGCCTACCTTCATGCCTAAGGATGTTCTGTTATTTTGGCTTAACAATCGCTGAAAAAACAAAGTTATATTTGACATAAAGTTTACAAGGCTTACCAAAAAATGAGATTGCATTGTAGCTGAGAGTCCTCATATTTCTTTTTTTAATATTCTGACCAACAATAGACCCTTCTTTCATTCAAAGGGTTTGGAATTCATGTTTTCAAATTCCTTGTACCAAACTATAGTTACATAAAAAATGAAAAATGACACAAGTCTATTGAGTTTAAGCAACACAAAATCATTGGCAATGAACTGACAGCTCATAATGATAAATATAGATATTGCTATAGTATATTCTCACCAGATCCATTGTATTTGATTTTTCTAAAGAGAGCTTGTTTACTGTAATGTTTCCTAGCATAGCAGCTACCTCACCGTCATAAGAAAGCCAACCATTTATACACCACTTTGTGTGTATGACCATCTTCAGAAATTACATTCACATTCTAGCTAAGGCTGGGAAAATACTATCTTTATAATCTCTTACCTATTACCTACCTACCTATTACCTATATAATCACGCACCCTCGATATCTTTCTGACCCTCCCACATGAATAGGAGATTTCTCCTATTTTGTATAGATTTCCTCTCATTTCCTGTTGTAAAATATATTATATTGGACTGTAAGTGTACCTCATCTCTAATATGCAATACAAAAAGAAACAAAACCTAATGGGACTTTACTGGTACATTAAGTGGACAACCTCATGTTGTACATTAAACATATTTATTGAAATGCATCTTCCAAACACATTATGTAAAAACAAGACTTGGCTAATGAGACCAAGAAATCACAGCATCATGTTCTATGGAATCAATGTCCTCCAGAGGACGACACGTTTTGCTTGTTAGCTTCTTCAGGACCCCAAAACTGGAGGCGAGGAAATCAAATGCCTAAGCTGGAAGATGTGTTAAAAAAGTCTATTTGATTTACATATCAAATAGACTTG